TAACCACTAAACCACCTTATAAAAAAACACTTTGTGCAAGAACAAGAGAGAGTCAAGAGTGCCACACCAATCGTTTTAGAGTTCATCCTAATGTAATTCTTCATATAAATCCAAAGGGAAAATAGCCAAAGATTTTCAGGAGATTGTCCAGCAGGTATCAGGGCTTTAAAGCTGTTGGGGAAAATTGTGGAAGGTTTGAAGGAGTAAAGTTGGTCCACCTTACAAAGTAGGCATCACCAGCTGGTTTTGAAGAACCTTTATCATGGTGACGTGCAGAAAGAGGATCACATTTGTCCTAAAAATGTACGTTTGTTCAACTGTATGTTCATCATGCTTGATGGAGTAAATCACTTTGCTTAATTAGAGTTTCATGATGGCAGCCTTTCCTTTCCTCCTAATGAGTAGGCATCTTTTGATTACGCAACAGGAGTCAGGGGCATATAATCTTTGCTCACAATCCTCAAACTGTCTAGAAGCTCAATTGTTCTGGTTCCTGGTTTTCAAGAATTAGTTAGATCAATTAGAGATGTAGAAATACTGCATAGCTGACCGTTTTCTGTTTTTTTTTATGTTTAGTCCATCTCCAGCCTGACTCTCAATAGCAAGCTGGAGTTGGACTAAAGTATTGCTCGGCTTAATCTCCCATTATATTGGCTAAGCACTAAAAATTATATACCAATGAAGAGATAGAGTCTTAATTGACATAAGAGGAAATTGCAAACAAGGGCCAAAATGCCTGAGGCCAGAAAAGGAAGAGATACTTAGCCAAATAATGTTAAATATTAATTTCAGTGTTGTGGACCCATGAGATGTCCAGACAGGTGCTGGACAACAAGGTGCTCAGGAGGACTGAGGAGAGCATGACATGCAAACAATAACATAGAAGTTGCAATGTTATATGGGCAGGGGCGGACTGACAACTCATGGGGCCCCCGGGCAATAGGGGATCATGGGGCCCCTGTGTCCTTGCCCAAACTCAAAAAAGCCTATGAAAAAGGTACCGGGCATCTCATGGGGCCCCCTACTGACCCCAGGCCCTCGGGCAGTCTCCGAGTTTCCAAATGGTCAGTCTGCCCCTGTATATGGGTGATCTTGGGCCGAGGCCGCTGCGATCGTGCTATCTTTACCGTTCCAGGAAAGATCATTATGGCCAATCAGGAACCTAGATCACCCATATAGCATAGCAATTTCTACATTATTGTGAGAATGTCATGCTCTCCTGGGTCATTGTGAGCATCATGTCATCCTACACCCGTTTGGGCATCTCTGGGGTCCACAAGGCTGGAACTACTTTTTTAACATTATTTAACTGCTAAGTACCTCTTCCTCCCCTAACTTTATTTGAAGGCATTTTAGGCCCCTGATGAAAACATACTTGAAACACGTTGGGTGTTGTCTACACATTAAATCTACAAAAAATACATAAATTAAATGTGAAATTAAGATAACCTATGTATAGGGGATAAGTAAGATGTATACTATGTCAGCAAACATTTTTATGACATATGATATTCCTTTGCAATAATAAAGATATATTGTTTTATACATGTAAAGTTGTCTGTATACATGCCTTAGGCCCCTTTCACATGGAGGGTCCAATCAGGTCCATCTGTTTTTCAGGTAGACCTGATTGAACCTTCTATTCGGACCAGCCTGCAGAAACGAATTTGTGTCCGTTTAAACCCACCTACCTCCAATCTGATTTTATCTGCTAAAAAAAAAACAGAAGGGGGTCCATCCCCCTCCATCTAGGCAAATCAGAGGGCAGTTGGGTTTAAACAGCCTGCAGAGTCTGTTTACACCCGCCGGTCCATAAAGCAGAGGGCTCAGTCTGTGTCCACTCTGCATAAACTGAGCATACGTGGGCCTGTCAGCTACCTACTCTGCTCTGATCAGCAGGGAATTAGAGGATACATCACCTGCTGACAGGGGCGGACTGACAAGTCATGGGGCCCCCGGGAAATAAGGGATCATGGGGCCCCTGTGTTCTTGCTCAAACTCAAAAAAGCCTATGAAAAAGGTACCAGGGGCATCTCATGGGGCCCCCTACTGACCCCGGGCCCTCAGGCAGTGCCCGAGTTTCCAAATGGTCAGTCCGCCCCTGGTGGTAATAATGTGTATGCACCCAGGGACAGATGCTTGGAACACAATTCTGTGTCCTGAACACTCTGCAGTCATATCTCAAGCAGTCTAATCAGTCCTCCTCTGCTGGACTACAGAACAGCCCCCTCATGTAATAGAGATACGGATGGAGTGGTATTCTGATCAGCAGGGAATTAGAGGATAGATCACCTGCTGGCAGGGGCGGACTGACAACTCATGGGGGCCCTGGGCAATAGGGGATCATGGGGCCCCTGTGTTCTTGCTCAAACTCAAAAAAGCCTATGAAAAAGGTACCAGGGGCATCTCATGGGGCCCCCTACTGACTCCGGGCCCTCGGGCAGTGCCCAAGTTTCCAAATGGTCAATCCGCCCCTGCCTGCTGATCATAACTGAGTCCACTCCATGTGAAAGGGTCCTTACAAGTCCCACAAACCCTCATAACTCTCCTGTGTAGCATTTTTCAAAGGGATGTTGGCACAAATCCAGAGTCATAATTCATGCCTTACATAGCTATATTAGCTGTAATGTCTGACAAGCTCTGGAGAATTCCAGAAATGTCCCCCACTCTCCCATGGTATCTACACGTGTGCAATGTTTTCTACATGGCATCAAAAAAAGATTCTTTGTAAACAGGTTTTCTAAAAGTGGAAAGCTTGTTTTGATGGAGCACAATTCCAGAGGTCTCCATGGAATCTATTTGTTCCCACCCTTAGATAATATATTCATTTACTTGTTATTTGTTGTGCATTTGTGCGTGCGTATGTTTCTGCAGGTCTCCTATTTTTGTCCCAAGAATAACATGAAATGATGGTGTCTCTTACAAAGCAATGATGCAATTTCAGCAGCTTCTTTTTAACAGATGATTTATACATAAAATATAAGGATTTGGCAAGCCAACGGCTAATGAAAAAGCAAATTAAAAATGATTAAAGCTGAAGTTAAATCTGATCATATTTTGCCTCCCTTGGCTCCTTCTACTCCCACATCAATATGTAATTTGCTGAAGTTAATGAATTTTTTAAATAAAACCTTTCTATTTTTCATTACATACCTTTTTTCAGTCCCAGTGATGGCATCTCTGTGCTTTTCTATGAAATGCAGGTAGATCATGACTGGTGGGAGGTTCTAACACGGTGCTATACATAACTTCCCGAAAACATCACAGCACCCTGCCTCAGTACTCCTGTCAGGAACCCTCAAACCCAATGCAAGCTGTTCTTGGGAAGATCTATGAAAATATCAAAATGCCTTTATGAGTGGATGTCAGTCTGGAGGGGTGGGTGTTCCTAGTCAAATAGCATTTGCATGTAATCTACCTGAGGTAATGCCCAAATTTGATTCTGAGTCTCCATGAGTAAAAAAAATGGCATCCACACCAAGTTACGAGACCTCCTGTGTTCATAGTTCAGCAGGCCAATGGCTTGGCATGGGCCCCAGAAGATAGTGGAGATCACTGGAGTAGTGGTCTTGTAGCTACTACAGTGATTTCCTGCTTCAACGAGGATCTCACAGGTATGGCACATACATACATGCTGTAACTATGTAAAACTTGCCATACCTGGACTTCATCTTCAAGATGCAAGTTTAGTTAGGAAGGGGTATACACCTGTAGGTCTTGTTCGACTGGTAGTTGAAGGTCTGATGATAATAGTATGGTGACAAGAGTTGTTCCCTTGAACATTGCTGAGTATTTTGGGAAGTTTAAGAAAGGTTTTCCACCCACCTGCTTTCATTTTGAGGTTTATTGGAAGTAAAGAAAAAAAAAAGTTTGTTACACCATTTTGGTGGGTCAGGGGGTCTTTGGGGAAATCAATGAATTGTTACCTAGGAACCCATCTGAGGTATCATTCTTCAACTTGGTTATTGGTGGTCCCCTGGGAAAAATAAGCATTAGATAATGATTTGGAACCAGTGAGGTATCCGGAGAGAACATTGGCTATTGCATTGTCAAATCTGTTAGTTGTTTGTTAATCTGTGTGGTACTTTATGTTATTTTTTTTGTTCTTTTTTTTTGTAAATGAAGTCTGCTGTGGCTGTTAAAACCCATAGTCCATGCCATTATTGAAGTGGTTATTGAAGGACCTAGGTTGACGAATGACTTAGTCATGGTTTATCACCGATATGCTGCTCAGAAACTCCCTAGTATTATTCTGTAATAATTCTACGTTGTATAATACGTTATGCACACTATAAATGTACTTATCAAATCTCTCTGCCAATCCCTTCACTAGCTTTCACTGGGTTTTACTAGCTAAACGCATAAAATTCAAAATACTGAACACAACATACAAAGTCATCCACACTTCTGCCCCCAGCTACATTACCAACCTAATCTTGAGATATTGCCCAAACCTTTCACTCCATAATCTCCTGCTCTCTTGCTCCCTTGTTACCTCCTCCCATGCTCACCTCCAGGACTTTTGCAGAGCCTCTCCTATCCTCTGGTACTCCCTACCCCAGTATGTCTGGCTAGCTCCTACCATGTCTGCCAATCTCTAAAAACGAATTTATTCAGGAAAGCCTACTTACACCTAAGAACTGTACTTTGGGGACCTCCATCAGATCATCACTCACAGCTATTAACTTCTGTACCACCTTGCTTTAGATTGTAAGCTCCATGATCAGGGCCACCTATTCCTCCTGTATTGAACTGTATTGTATTTTTACTGTCTGCTTTTACATTGTAAATTGTTGCCAAAACTGTTGACCCTATATAAATCATGTAAATGAATAATATAATAATAATAATAGCACTGTTGTTCAGATTTATGATATATGTAATCACTGTCTTTCCAGGACTGCTTGGTAATGCTATACTTTGTAAAATAAACTATTAAAAATGTATTTAAATGATATATTGTTGCACTATATAACCTGAACTTTGAATTTATTTGCAGGAGCCGTGGAGGAGTGCCACCCGCTTCTGCAGGAGTGCCAAGAGGGGCACCGGCTCCAAGAGGAGTGACCCCTGCTAGGGTTCCATCTATACGAGCTCGGGGAATATTGGCCACACGAGCAAGAGGACTTCCTCCTCCTGCAGGTTATCGACCCCCACTGCCAGCACAGGACACGTACGGAGAATATGTGAGTATCAGATAAGATATTATGCTTGAAAAACCCCAAGATGATTATCATCTTTTGGACTTTACTGTATGTGAGTGGTCTCCAAACTTTGGCCGTGGGCAGGATGCAGCCCAAGGGGCACTATTTCTCCCACTGCTATGAGGCACTATTTCTCCCACTGGACACAAACAGCGGGGCATAAATCCTACCACTGACACCAATGATGAGGCACTTTTCATCTCACTGGTACGAATGATGGGGCACTATTCCCCCAACCAATGCTAGTGATGGGGCACTATTCCTCCCACTGATACCAATAATGAGGTTTTATTTCTCCCACTGATACCAATGATGGGGCACTATTCCTCCCATTGATACCAATGATGGGGCACTATTCCTCCCATTGATACCAATGATGGAGCACTATTCCTCCCACTTACACCAATGATGGGGCACTATTCCTCCCACTGATACCAATGATGGGCACTATTCCTCCCACTGACACCGATGATGGGGCACTATTCCTCCTATTGATACCAATGATGGGACACTATTCCTCCCACTGATACCAATGATGGGGCATTATTCCTCCCACTGATACCAATGATAGGGCACTATTCCTCCCACTGATACCAATGATGGGGCACTATTCATCCCACTGATACCAATGATGGGGTACTATTCCTCCCACTGATACCAATGATGGGGCACTATTCCTCCCACTGATACCAATGATGGGACACTATTCCTCCCACTGATACCAATGATAGGGCACTATTCCTCCCACTGATACCATGATGGGGCACTATTCATCCCACTGATACCAATGATGGGGCACTATTCCTCCCACTGATACCAATGATGGGGCACTATTCCTCCCACTGATACCAATGATGGGACACTATTCCTCCCACTGATACCAATGATGGGGCACTATTCCTCCCACTGATACCAATGATGGGGAAATATTCCTCCCAATGATACCAATGATGGGGCACTATTCCTCCCACTGATACCAATGATGGGGCACTATTCCTCCCACTGATACCAATGATGGGGCACTATTCTTCCCACTGATACCAATGATGGGGCACTATTCTTCCCACTGATACCAATGATGGGGCACTATTCCTCTTACTGATACCAATGATGGGGCACTATTCTTTACTGACACCAATGATGGGGCACTATTCTTCCCACTGAAACAATGATGGGGCACTATTCCTCCCACTGATACCTAATGATGGGGCACTATTCCTCCCACTGACACAATGATGGGGCACTATTCCTCCCACTGACACTAAAGATGGGGAAATATTCCTCCCAATGATACCAATGATGGGGCACTATTCCTCCCACTGATACCAATGATGGGGCACTATTCCTCCCATGATACCAATGATGGGGCACTGTTCCTCACACTGATACCAATGATGGGGTACTATTCCTCCCACTGACATCAATGATGGGGCACTATTCCTCTTACTGACACCAATGATGGGGTACTAGTCCTCCTCCCACTAAGCACAAGTGTTGTCATTTTTTTACTCCCATTGACCACTATGCTTAAAGCATTATTTGCTTGACGAGACCCTTTTACTGCTATTAGCCACAATCTGTCCCACCTAAAACTGGAACAACAGTGAACTGGCCCTTTGTTTAGAAAGTTTGGAGACCCTGCTGTAAGCTAAGGGGTCTTCATGGTCCAGCGACATTAATGTTTTGCATGGCTCTGAGGACTATCCTAAAACTTTTTTCTCGATGATGAATGTGAGACATGTATATACCTTTAACCCATTAGTGCCCAACCTCAATATCTCTTATACTGGGCTATTATGACTGGAGGCAGGAAGGTCTGCCCTATCTCGTGACCACTGTGATTGGCTGTCACATTGATCACATGACTGGGAGCCAATCTTGCCAGCTCCCAATCTATACTGGAGACTGGGAGTGATCTCTGACAGCTTGGTCACTGTGCTGGGAGTAAGCAGCATGCAAATGCTCAGCACAGAAACCTTAGCCATCCATGGATGCTTATGTGAAGCCCACCCTCTTTACTAACACACATACGTGTTACATGGGTGACAAGAGGTTAAGTGAACCTGTGGTCATCCTATGAACATTTAAGCATGTAGATATTCCTAAAGCTGAACTCCAGGCAGATATAAAAGCCACCCGCTACTGCAGCTCTGGAATCATTGACACATCCTAAATAAATACATTTTTTAAATGCAAGTAATTTAATGTACCTGAAGTAGACTTTGTATTAGTTTATTGCAACCCCTGTACAGCGGAGCTTCGAAAGGAGGAGTTGGAATCAGCACAAGGAGCCAGTCAGTTGTGGTGCAGTACAAGGAGCATGCTGATAGTAGTAGGAGAGAGCAGAATGAGCTCATCAGTCTGCTGCTTCTCCTTTCCTCTCCAGTTACAGGGAGGGGATAGTGGGAGTTACTGAACTGCTGCAAAGATTAATGCCACAAAGCTGTACTGTGTGGCAGAGCCTCTTAAGTATCAGAACTGGATGGACACGAATACAAATCCTTTGGCAAGAAAAACAATTCTCATGTATGTATTTCATCTGTGTTTAGCCATTTGCCCACACTTCAGCTTTAACAATCATTAAATAAGCTGCAATACAGGTCCTTAGTGACCGCTATAATTGCAGACACTACTAGAAGTTTTATTAATCATTGCAGTTGCTGGGGACGTTCAGGTTGCTCTTGTCACATCCAATGATTTGTGTCTCCTTTAGCAGCATAGAAACCATCCTGTATATACCCCTTTGTACCCTGGGCTGTTTTTCAGTTTTCAGGGCTGGGAACTGACAATTACTCGTCTTGCAACACTGCACCCATATAATTTATATCATTTTTTGCGATAAACACTGAAATTTCTTTTTAGTTTATTTAATAACTAGTATGTTTTTGTTTGTTTGCTCTCCTTTTTTTAACTATATAAAGGAAAAAAGACCAAAATTGGGATTGGTTACATTTATATTTAATGTCCTTACCCACAGATCCCACAATCATTGGTGGTCAGTGGCACTTTAAGCCCCCCCCACCCTTCCCAAATAATCTCACAATCATGGTGGTCAGTGGCACTTTAAACCCCCCCTTTCCAAATAATCCCATCATTGGTGGTCAGTGGCACTTTAACCCCCCCCCTTCCCAAATAATCCCACAATCATTGGTGGTCAGTGGCACTTTAACCCCCCCCCTCCCAAATAGTCCCACAATCATTGGTGGTCAGTGGCACTTTTTATGTCCCCCCACCTTTCCCAAATAATCCCATAACCATTGGTGGTCAGTAGCACTTTAAGATCCCCCACTCTTCCCATGTAATCCCACAATCATTGGTGGTTAGTGGCACTTTAAGCCCCCCAGCCTTCCCAAATAGTCCCACAATCATTGGTGGTCAGTGGCACTTTATGTCCCCCACCCTTCCCAAATAATCCCACAATCATTGGTGGTCAGTAGCACTTTAATATCCCCCACCCTTCCCATGTAATCCCACAATCATTGGTGGTTAGTGGCACTTTAAGCCCCCCCCCCATCCCACAATCATTGGTGGTCAGTTGCACTTTAACCCCACAATCATTGTTGGCCATCATTGGTGGTCAGTGACACTTTAACCCCGCTCAAAAAACAATCCCACAAACATTAATGGTCAGTGGTACTTTAAATCCCCTCCTCCTATTTTTAAAAGAAATATCCCACAATCATTAGTGGTTAATTGCACATTAAACCACCCCACCCCACCAAAAAAAAAAAAAATACAAGCCCACAATCATTGCTGGTCAGTGGCCCTTTAACCCCCACCCCACCTTAAAAAAAACAAAATCTCACAATCATTGGTAGTCAGTAGCACTTTAAACCTCTCCCCCCTCAAAAGAATACAATCTAACATACACTGGTAGTTAGTGGCAATTTAATCTACCCCCCCCCCCCCCACAAAAGATTACAATCTAACATACACTGGTAGTTAGTGACTATTTAATCTACCCCCCACCAAAAGAATACAATCTAACATACACTGATAGTTAGTGGTAATTTAAAACTACCCCCCCCCCCCCACAACAGAATACAATCTCATATACACAGTTAGTGGCACTTTAAGCCCTTCTGTGTTTAAAAAACATCCAGCACTCCCTCTGCTTCATTCTGAATGATCTGATTATTAGTAAACACAGGGGGCGTTTACATGTCTGATAGGTCTGATTGGTTCACAGCGATCACAAGGTGTAGTCACTGTAACCGGCTACATGCATTTTGCATGTGATTTTCTAAGATAGAATTTTGTTGCATGGCTATTTGATGACCAATTAGTTTTTTTTACTATATAAAGAAACAAAGACCAAAAAAAATGGGATTGGTTACATTTACCTATAATTTTTTTAACCCATAGATCCCATTATCATCGGTGGCAAGTAGCATTTTAAATCCTCCCTACCTCTAAAAAAATCAATTATTGATGGTCTGTTGCACCCCCCCAGAAAAGCAATCCTGAAAACATTGGTTGTTCAATGACACTTTAGGCACACCCCCAAACAATCCCACAATCATTGGTGATCAGGGGTACTTTAAGAACCCTCCCCAGACAAAACAATCCCCAGTTGGTGGTTAATTCCCCTTTAAACCCCTTCCACTTTTAAGTTCTCACAGTCATTGGTAGTCAGTGGCATGTTAACCCCCCCCCCCCTAAAAAAAAAAAAAGTAGCACTTTAAGCTCTCATGCAAACAATCCGACAATCGTTGGTGGTCTGTGGCACTTTGTAACCCTTACCTTCACCTTCCATCTGCTGCAGTCCTCCGTCCTGCTGTGTTACAAACATTCAATGCTCCCCAGGGGTAGACTGACCATTTGGGAACTCGGGCACTGCCCGAGGGCCTGGGGCCAGTAGGGGGCCCATCAGATGCCCCTGGTACCTTTCATAGGCTTTTTTTGGTGTGGTTTGAGTGTGGGCGAGGACACAGGGGCCCCATGATCCCCTATTGCCCGGGGGCCCCATGAGTTGTCAGTCC